CCAGCCTGCTATTGGATATTTTAAATTGCAATAGCCAATAGCAGGCTGGCTATTGTACCCGCCCATTGCCTGCTGCCTGATTGAGAACTTTGTCTTCAGTTCCCTCCTTTGCTGATTGACAGCAGGTAGTGGGCGGGTACAATAGCCAACCTGCTGTTGCAATTTAAAGTATCCAATAGCAGGCTGGCTATTGCTCCCAGCCACTGCCTGCTGTATTTACATTCAGTGAATCCAGTGAAGTAGAAAGGTGACTCTAGAGGTTTAAAAGACCTCTAATGTCACCTTTGAGAGAACCTGTCACCTTCAATGCACGCAGCACTGGTGAGCAACTGCCCTAAAATCATCAGTCTGTATTGTTTTAGAAAAAATGTCACATGTCCCTGTAAGAAAAAGTATCGGTAATTGGTATCGGCAAGTACATGAGGGACAGTACTTGGTCTTGAAAAAGTGATATTGGGACATCCCTAATGTCTCCCATTCTTCTTCTCTTACTACATTTCATTCCTGTTTTTTTTTTCTTGTTTTTCTTTAGGACTTCTTGGTTTGATCTAGGCACTGTGGACCCAAGTTACCTAATGGTCTTAGATACAAAACAGTAGTGTAGTATGCAAAACAGTTTTTACCAAAAATGCACATCAAACGATTGTGAATATTTGTAAAAACTTTTTGATATCTGAACAAAACACATCAGAGTTTCCATATATTTTGTCTCAAACCTGTTCTGGGCCCAAGCAGACAATCCTTTATTAACATTGACTGTTGCTAGCTCCAGACTTCATTGACTTCGTGTTAATGGAAATTCCTAGAGAGGCATCTATCTAAAGACTGTTTCCTGGTAATGACAGCAATATATCCTATATCTGGTTTCTCCTGGCCTGTAGATGTTGAAAATGTTGTATTATGTTTATGAGCCAACAGATTTTTACTGCCCCAGTACAGAAGAACAGTATTCCATCTGTCGTATTAGATAGTGCAGAGGCTTACCACCTTTATGTTTCTATTTCTACTTTATTATGGCTAATTATTGACATGTGGAAAAGCTTTCTATAATGAGTTTGTTTTTTTGAGCAAGGCTTTGTTAACAATGATTCTCAATTTACACCAGTTTAGTAAGTTATACACATTATTTTGACGTTGTTTTTACGGACTGAGAATACTTGTCCACCAATGTACTTAAATGATAACTACAGTTGAAAGCAGCCTTTCCAGGAATACTCACCTCTTCTCCAGTGCTGTTCCCCACATACACACCACTCCTGTTTTAGACAGGCACTCTTTGGTTTTGAATGACACCCAATGGCATTACGCCAGCCTGGACTTACAGCACCGATATATAGAAACAGCTAAAAGTGCTCTAACTCTTCTGTCCAGTATTACTTTATGGAACACTGGTGCACAGCTCCTGCCGGCCTTCCACACCATCCAAATAATAATAGTCGGCACACGATTCTAGATCCTATGCACGTTCTTTATTTTATCAAGGCGTAAATCCCATTCTAAAAAATGTGCTAACATCTTTTAGCCAAAGTGACCTTAATCATAACTCATAGTACTGATGTACAGAACAGTGCTCACCTGGATTTAAAGCTGATCTCCAGTCTTCCCATATCCATCACTAACCCCTCTAAATGATTGCTGATATTGCAAACAAAAAACAAAATCACAAGGTCACGTGAAATTATAGTCCTGAGTCTGCTCTTTTCTGTTTACATGAGTCAGGGCCCTTCTTTGGGTGTCCACGTCACTGCATGCATGATGTGGACACTTCCTATGAGTTGTTCAGTGGCGGGGTCCTTTCCAGATCCAGAAGATATGTCCGCAGCAGTGACATCAGCATGCAGGGACTGACTGGCGCATGCACATCTGCAGGTCTGGAATAGCAGTCCTCTGCACTCTGCATGGGCAAGGGACCCAGATTGCAGACTTAGGTGAGTATTTTAAGTAACATTTTTTTTTTAAGTATTGGGTGTGGAGAAAGGCTAAGAGTTCTGTTTCTGTTTGAAGTGCTGTGGAAGTTTTTGTTTTTGAAATATTACATTATTATGATGCAGATAAAATATTTAAAGTGTATTTCTACTTTGGCAGTTAAGAAATTTAACTTGAGAAATCCCACTATATGCTTGTTATGTGTTCTTATTCACACAGCATACCAAAAAAAGATTTAAAGATATATTTTCTACCTTTTAGATGTGTTTGTGTCGCAGGCATTTGCAAGCTTCTCTCTCCATTTTCAGGTGACAGGAAACTCTGGCTGTCCTTGACAAAGTCATTAACCTGCCCAGTCCCCTTTCATTCCAGAAGAAAATTTAGTACAGAGAAAAACTTTTCTTTTAGAGTAGAGCATGTAATATGCAAGCAGCCATTTTTATTTTTAACTTTGCTATGTGAATGAAAACATGTAACAAAACATAAAATTGGAGTTACCCTAATTTGGATGCAAAAGCGCAAATACGCTTTAACCTTTAATATGTTTGTTGGGATAGGGTAATGCTAATCTAATGTCTGTTGCCACTTTTCTACAGACTTACTTGTAGGCCTTTCCCTGCATTTCCCTAAAACCCAAATAATGTTCAGAAAAAAATACCAAGCCCTGAATGTACGAGAATCTGAAAATTACAACCAGTACATAAAAACCAGGACAGAAAAGAGGAATGTATCTATAGAAGTCTAAATGAAACAAGTATTAGTACAGGGTCTTTATGCACTATGATGTGAGTGGTTTAATGTATATTGGTGTGCCTGATAAAAGGAAATTATAAGCATTATGCTCCTAAAACATAATAAACTGTAAATTTGCACATAAATGAGGGCTCGTCCCCAGTAGCACAAGAGCTGACTTTCTGTTTTTCTTTACTAATGCATGCTGATTGGTATACCCTCTGACCAAAGATTAATGGTCCCCACATGCAACCTGCATCCCAGGTAGATGGATTTTGTTTAATGCATTGAGATAGCAGGGGAGCAAAAAGATTCCCCATTTTTGGGGGAGGAAAGAAAAATCATCAAGATTTTGTTTGTATTTCCTATTGCTTTTCTGATTTCAACCCAAACCTGCAAGTATATGTGTAATAAATGCATATAATGATTTTAATACAGTGTTTCCCCGAAAATAAGACCTATCCCGAAAATAAGACCTAGTACTATTTTGGGGAATTGCTAAAATATAAGACCTATCCTGAAAATAAGGCCGGTGGTGGCATAAGGGGAAACTTGAAGACCCACTGGAGAGTATCAGCGGTGCCAACAAAGCCGGCGCTAGAGGAAGCAAGGCGGCAGTGGAGGGAGCAGAGCCGCATAAGCCGATGCCTCCTCTATGGCGCCGGCTCCTGTCACAGGCGGAGTGATACCAAATGCACTCCGCCTGTGAGGAATCAATAGTAAAAGGGTGCTTTGCTTATTCTGGCCAGCGATTGGTTACCAAAGTCTGTTGTACATGAATAAGTGTGGATTGTTGTACATTAAAAAAAAAATAAGACCTATCCCGAAATAAAGACCTAGTGTGGTTTTTTGAGCCAAAAAAAATATAAGACGTCTTATTTTCAGGGAAACACGGTAGCATAATTTACACTTTGCATTTAGATGTTTTTTTGGTGTGTTCAGTTTAGCTGCGATTCTGTGCATCCAGGGGCAGATTAGATACTCTGGATGTGTCCAAATGCATGTACGAAGAATATCGAAACCGGCACTCCAATAGCAAATTGAATACGTCTATTTATTGACGTACATGCAAAATAAGCATACCACACTTAGCACAACGTTTCGGGGTCTCATAGGATCCCCTTCATCAGGCAGAGCAAGAACTGCATGTAAACGCAGATTTAGATGCAATTGAATTTGATCAGGGAAGTATAAAATGTCATTATAGATGGCCATATAATTTATCCTGCATTTAAATAAATCACATGGGAGAGAATAATTTGAATGTAGTCTAAGACTGCTTGAATGCTGCTTACCCTGACCTGCCTCTACTCTAAGGTAATGCCTAAATGCTTCCTGTTCTGATCACACAACTTGCCAGTAAGGCGAATCTGAGGGCTGCAACCTAATAGTAAAACCCATTTTGTTTCTTTTGGTTGTTGAAGACCAGATACTCCATAGACTTTGCACTTCAGGGGAATCCTTACCTCTCAATGATGACACTAAGAAGCTGTTTTTCTAAAGGAGTGGAGTATCTTCACACAAAAAAAAGTGTGAATATGTAATTTAATTATCCGATCATGTGCAAAGCAAATGCCTGTTTACTTCTTTAATCTGCACATGATTGGATAACTGAAGTTAATATTCACACAATTTGTGTGGCTGATTTACTAAAGTAGTTGAGAATGTTCACAAATTGTGTAAATATTCACATTTCTTTTCACATAATAGGATTATTAAGGTGAATACACACAATTTATTCTGTGAAGATTTTAAACGTCTTTAGTAAATCAGCCCAAGAGAGTTCATGCTGACCCACATTATGTTCTCACATATCTTTGTTAGGTAGAATAGCAATTTGCAGAATTGGTATCCAGTACTTTCGGAGGCTTCTAATGAACTCTGTTATGAATGTGAGTAATCTGAAGTAGCACATGCACAGAAAGAATGTGTACAGGGTACAGGTGCTAACAGCAGAGGTCCTTAGAATACTTCCTATGCACAGAAACTAGATGCCAAAGGCTTTGGAAGCCTACCCAATGACAGGACCAACATATGGAGGCTCCAGATATCTATGATAATGAGCAATTTTGTCACCAAGGATGCAGTGTGATGATATCATCTCTGTACAATAGCCCAAGGGAGCAGAAATATGCTTCTGGCTGCAATGATATATCAGTATGAAACTATCATGTTACATGTAATAATTGACCTATTTAATTTACACTGGGAGTATAGAACTGTGGAGCCTTAAAAGTCTGCTGGTATTGAGATAAAACAGTAAACACAGCATAGGAAGGAGAACTGTTGTAAATTTGTAAAAACACATCTTTTATGTTAGATGCACTCAAAATAGAGTCATATAATTGTCACCAAAACTTTATTATACATGGCAACTTGCACAGTTTATAACAGACCAGCAAAAATAATGTATAAGATATTTACAACCTTGCAATTGCTACCTAACTGTACACAAGGCAAAGTGATCATAATAACACAATCGTCAGAATAATTGTGCACAAAAGACAATATTTAGAAGACATATTACAAGAACAGAACAGTGAATGACATCACAGGTCCAGTGAAAATTAGCATTTTACAAAACATATCAATTTACTGCAAACAACACCCTTTATTACATTAAGCATCAAATTTAATTTCAGTAGTAACTTAGCTGGAATCTGAAGTACAGATTTCTTGGGCAACTATGAGTCTTTTCAGCGTGGCAACCTCAGCAGATAAATTTGCAATGCCTTGTTTTAAATACAAGCTCTCTGGCTCAGTAGCCTTGTAAACATTGTCCGTCATACCAACAATTCCAGCAGTTTTGCAAATATTTGGGATTTTTTCAAGTTCCTTATGTTGCCACTGTCCTGATTTAATAGGCCAGTCTGGCATATTAGTCACTTGAACAGACAAAGATGAATGTACCAGATCTTCGCTATTATGTTTTTCGAGTGGAAAGTGCTTTTTTGAGGACATGTCAATTGGCAAAGCCAGTTTTTGTGTGGCAGTAAACTCATTCTCCAGTGCTTCCATTTTGACCTGCATAGCTTTAGTCTTAATTCGCAGTTTGTGGGGCAGTGCAGAGGAATTCACTTCTGGAACTTTTATTACTGTTGTATGACCATTTTTTAGTTCAATAGGGGAATGAATGGGACCTTTTGGAACCTGCTGCTCATCCTCCCCATCAGAAGTTTTTCCTACCACACCCTCATCAGTCTCTGATGTCCTTGGAGAGTTACTGGAGGAACTGTTGATTTGTAGGAGGGGAGGAGAATGGGAATAACTAGGAAATGTGCTTCTAATATAGTTCTGATAGACAGATGGGGTGTAGGAAGGGTTCTCCTCTCTAGATTCCCGAGGAAAGGTCTCTATCTCTAAGGGTTCCCGCTTAATCCTTTGGAACTTCATTTCAGGTGTTCTGCAGCTGCCCTGAAAGGGGTTTGGTTGAATATGGTCTCCAGATGAGGTCTCAGATACATCTGACAGAGAACTCTGAGGGGAGTGCTTGATTACAGAAATGCAGCTACTGGTCATGAGAGGGTGTTCATGATCTCCTGAGAAAGACGTCGCATTGGATTTGGCAGCTGCATATTCCTGAAAATATACAGCTGTGGTGTTTGTAACCTTTTGTATCTCTTGAGCATACGATGCAGAACTTATTAAACCAAACTTAAGTTTTAAAGACAGCAGTTCCGTTTTCAGGTTAGCATTCTCCTCTCCTAGTGCAAGGAGTTTATTTTCAAGAACCATGTCATTTAGTCTGCGCTTCTCTCGTGATCTTTTTGCAGCCTCGTTATTTTTCCTTCTCTTCTCCCAGTACATAGCATCTTTCTTTTCATCAGGAATGAATTCCCTTTTCCTACGACATGATGACGACTTGTTTTTCCCAATACCACCTTCATTGTACAACATGTCATTGCTAGAGTCCATTGATTCAGATATATCTGTCATATTAGAATTTAACACAAGGATGTTCTCCATACCACTCCTTGTATCCATGCACTCCTCTTTTTTAATGGTAGGCATTTTCCTTATCTGCATTAGCACCAGTTGGAGTCAGTCACCATTCACAGTTGCTGGAGAAAACAATTCCACAGTGTTTCCTATACTGTATCAACATGAAGATCTCAATTATACAAAATTCCATCTGCTATCAATATTTCTTTCCAGGAGCTGAAGTTGTACATGTATAACCATTTTCACAGCATGATCTGTATAGGCATTGTCACCTGAAAAAGAAGAACAAGAATATGTTGAATATTAGCCACTGAAATGTAAGACCACATTAATGCAAAACAATTTAACCAATACTTGATGGCTTTGGAAAGTCTTCCTATGAGTTGTCGAAAAGTCCCTTGTGAGGAAGAAGTTAAGATACCACTGGAGAAGTTAGTTTGCTAGTACAACCACAAGCTTATACACTTCTGCATTTTCACCGACCATATTATACAGAGTCCTGTTTGCGGTTCATATATAACAGTGATCAGGTGAACTCATTTTGTTATAAACTCGGATTAATTTTTTTTAAAACTCTGACTTGCTACGCACAAGCTTGCGACATTGCATGCCTCATCTTGGAGGATGCGGAAAACAGAAGGAACTGAGACTGAGAAGAATGATTAATTGGTACTTGAGATTCAGAGAGTAGTGGAAAAAGTACATTTGTGTTAGAAAAAAACAAAACCTTGTAATAAGAACAAAACATTATAAACCATCATTTAAAATCTTTCAGCATAGAAACTGTCTCTTTTAGTCTGGAAGTAGGTTGGACTATTTATGGCATCAAAATCAATAAAGAAGCAGTACAAGGGGATTTCTGGTTTCATACATAAAATGCAGAAGGTTTTATAATCTAGCTGTTTTATTTCTGTCCTTTAAAATGGATTACCTTTACTACTATGTTTAGTAACTTGGGATCAGCACAGTTCACTAATCAAGGTCAAAGTTAAGAATGAATGAAAATACAGGTGTCAGACAACAGCTGACAGTACGTGTGCAGAGTCAGGTAGCTTTCATTTTACACTGCATTGTGAGCAGAATGTAAACATAACACTTGTTAAAAGAATTTAGCTCACTCAGTCTACATTATTTAGATTACCTGCAATCAGAATTTTCACTGTTCGCAGATGAAGAAATTATTTGACATGCACAGCCTTTCTGTGTACTGTTCTATCCACAGCTATTAAAAACTTTCATCATCTCATTATTTAATTTACGCCTCCAGCAGCGTGGCAGTGTTAACAATATGTTTGGCATTGCATACTAGTTTAGACCTGGAACCCACATGAATGCAATTACATGACAAACTGGATTTTACTGTATGCATAAGAGTTCAGTTGTCCATAGCAGCCAATCAGATTTGAGTTTACATCAGTTTAGAGTAGTCAGCAAATGGTATTATGTCTAAATGGTGCCTATGCACATTAGCCGTGCTTCATTAAATGAGTGTTCTACTGTAATCTATCTGCCAACATACTGAGAATTACAGTTTGCGTATTGCTCAGCGTATCCTAAAGGAAAAAGAAAAGAGCGATTTCTAGCTATGAAGTGAAGCACTCGAGAAAACTGCTAAGTGTTTATAACAGGTGATTCATGTCTGATAACTCTAAATATACCAAACGGCAATCATGTGACTTCCTTGCACAGGCAATTCATACCACAAAAGATTAGGCAGTATGTGAAATGGATGGCTTGCTGACTACGACTCTCTGCTTGGCAGAAAAATGATGCTTCGGCTTTTTGTGATTTACAATGGTTTGTTAGATTTTCAGTGAATCAAAAATAGTAAAAGAACAACTGTTCACATAAATATACTGAGCCAGCTAATGCTCACTGTGTTTTCTGCCAAGGTACACAAAGGCAGCCAACAAGGTTAGCTTTTCACTCATTTACAACGGCTCATTAATCTAATTTTATCTCTCTCCGTAGTATAGAAACACTTGAAGAATAAAAAACAAATCGAAAAGACAAAATCAAGAGGCAAATAGAATATAATGTACAACTCGTTTTACATAATTAAAATGCATTTATTTGTTCTTATGCTAGTTTCATCCTGCCATAGATCTTATAATCCCGTGTTGTGTCTATCAATGCCTTGTCTACTTGTCCAATACATTCTCACCATATTATGGCATAATATCCCACTGAGTTCATACATATTCCCAGATGATGGGCCACATCTATATTATATATGACAGATCAAGTGGGGATCAGGGCTCATAATTTCAGGTGGATGAGAACAAATTTGATTTTTTTATAACACTTACCTCTAATGGTTACCTCTGTATTGTACTAAATACAATAATGAGAACAGACATGCTTATATAGCATGCATCCCTGTTTTTTTTTAAATATAAACGTTCATCCTAAACCCACATACTGTATATAATTTAGTAAACCATCCCAACGTTTTACCCTTAATGCCTCATTCCCACGTAAAATAAAGTCCAGGTAAGTAAAAATGGAAAGATATTTATCCCTAATGCCTCATCCTCACATCCAAATGAGTTTGATTAAGTTAAGAACTGAAGAAACTAATATTTAAAAATTCCAAAGTATTCCAATAATTGTGCAGCAAAATGTGTTCCAAATATAACCACTGGGCGCACAAACAGGTGCTGAATCTTTCCCAACAGACACCATGCCCACTGATTAACTAGATTGGAATGTGGCATGGTGCCTCATTTGTATTTTGAGCAGACAACTGCCAGACTATGTCACATGTATTTCCAGCAATGAAAGCTATTGTAATCTAATTATATAGTGACCTATATGTTTATAGTTTTTGTAACAATTCTATGACTTTTATAACATCCAGATGGGTTATAGCAGAGTTTACATTATATTGTTGGCACGCTCCCTTGTTGCAAACGCTGAGCTCATCTGCGGCAACAAGAGAACAAGCTCGGGAGAAGGACAGTGCTCCCTCTGTACCTCTAGGGGGCACTCGTCCTAACGGCTGTTCTGTCCTAGGAGGAAGACAAAACGGAGCTTTGAACACTGTCAGAAGGTTTTGGGGTCAAGCTTCACTCATTGCACAAATGGCCTACAGATATTGAGTGCATTTTTAAAAATCTGATTAGTTTAGGGTTATGGAATAATGTTTCTGGACCTCATAGAGTATTTTTCCTTAAAGGTGAACTAACCCTTTATATTAACCTACACGTGGTAGCGTCCATGTAAATAGTGGTCATGCAACCCAAAGGCCTATCTTACAGCCTATTGTGAGGAAGCCTAACTGACACTAAACAGTAATTGAATCTGGAGAAAAAGGGGTATTCGAGGGTCTGATCGTGTTCGAGAAAAAAATCAGAGGGACCTTGTCTGTGGGTTCCTTTCGTACTATGTTCTTGATTGCAGTTACAATACCTATAAATAGTTGAAGAGGTGTAGCTTTAAAAAAATAGAAAGGTAGTAGAGGGAACGTTTACTCTTTCTGCAGCCATGATCACACAAGATGTATTTTTATTTAATCCTACTGGCATATACATCTGGTTCACTGATTTTGCAATTCCATGTTTTTTTCATGCTAGTTATTAAGAATCATAAAGCACATGAGCTCCTGCAATGAAATTCCCATTCTTGTACAAAAAATTAGATTTACCATGAAAATCAATGATTATCATTTACTGCAGTGATTCCTCATAAAACAGATCTTAATCCTTCTTCACATGAGTCAGTGCTGCTTGTTCTTTTATTTAGTTTGTGGCAATGACAGTAAGAGCAGTTCAAACAGTATAATAGCATTTCTTTCAACAGTTCTTTCATTAGGTTTTATCACAAACGCTCTGAATTACCCAGAACATAAAGTAATATGCATACATGCACAAAACTGGGGCCACTTAGAAAATTGACAAACTTAAGCTGTTTTTAAAATAAAAACTTAATTGGATAACTAAATATGACCCATTTCAATTTTCAAAGATAATTTTTTTCTTTCAAACATTCCAACCTAAAACCATGTTATACTACAAGGATTAAGGTCTCTGCTAACCCAGCGGTCCTGTGTTTTAAAGAGGCAACCCAAAGCACATTTTTTTCTTCTTTCTGTTGATGTCGTTTTTTAATTGCTTCTTAAGTGATTCCGTAATATTTGGATTATACTGCTGCCTACAAGAGGATGTGCAAACTGTCAAACAAAAAAAACAGTGACACGTGTGGTATAACCACTCCCAGCATGCCTCTGTTTTTGCTAGTGCCCAAGTAGGGTGGATGCATTTTCTCTACAGAGAAAAATCTAACTGATTTACAACACATTTTTTTTCTACTTGTTTCTTTGTGGGATTTGAATTTGGTTATCTCGGCACTTCAGAAAATGCACTTTGAACCTATCAGGTTATCCCCCTTTTCATGCTCACTCATGTGGTTGTTTTCTTTGTTCACCTCTGTAAAGTGTGTCTGAACTGGTGGCCTAGCCCTACAAGGAATCCTTTCTGGTCTCACATAATGCCTAAACCCTCCTTCGCAAGGTAGTCTTAGCCTTTCACCTTAACCAAGACACTATGCTCCCATCCTTCCGTCCAGCCCCAGTACATCAGAACATGATTTTCCTCCATTGTCTCGATGTAGTTCGAGCTGTATGTGTCTACCTCACAGCCACTGCCTCCATTAGAAAGACTGACTTCCACTTTGTCATTCCTGATGCTCCCCGTTAAGGGGAACCAGCATTTATTTCCACCATTTTTCGGGGGCTTAGACATATCATCATTCAATATTACGATCCTAAGAATTGAATTCCACCCTATCCTATTAAGGCACACTCTTCTAGATCTGTGAGTACTTCTTGGAATTTTCGGCATCAGACAACTGTTTCCCAGATTTGCAAGGCTGCCACCTGGTCTTCTGTATACATGTTCTTTAGGTTTGACCAGGAGGATGTTCAGGACACTTCTATTGCCAACTTTGGGTGTAAGGTCCTTCAGGCAGCTCTTTGAGCTGCAGAATGTTGACAGTTTCTTTTTAATTAGGCTTGTTAGCATATTTTCCTGTGTTGCTCACCCCATCAGTTGGCCAGTGTCCACATCATCCTATAGGAAGATGAATAATTCACATGGCACTGAATCCTGAGTGCCCCAATGAACTTTAAGAAAAGGATTTTACGATGAGTACAAGAATCCTGGTTTATCATTGACTGACCATGTATTGGCAGCCTCTTTAGTAAGGACTTGTTCATATCATTTGCATAATACATATGTACTGGCATGCATCCCTAAGTTTTGCTGCACCG